TTTTCAAATGCATTTTGATGCAAAACCGAAGCGAAGTTTGAACCGCACTTCTTTGACCCATGCCCTAACTACAACTACCCCCACCCCTGACCTGCCCCCTCCACACTCCCTCTCTAGCCAGACTGCCCTATCGCATTCTCTGTGTGTTTGCTATGATGTCTCTGTAACTGTAATTGATGCTGACTTTTTGACAGTTTGAATGCTGAAAAGCGAACAGATGAGCAGTGCCGGAAAAAAAAGGATGGGCGTGGCAAAGGCCACGTCTACAGTTACAAAAAATGACAATTTTGATTAGTTTTGTGACAGTTTTTCGTGATTTGAATTCAATTATGATTAGCGAGCTCGCACAAGGGACGAAAAGCTGACTGCTACGACACAGCGCGGTTCAGTCTCTATTCAAACTGGATCAATAAATGCGCCATTTAGAGTAAATATTTTGATTTCGAGCGCAGCAAGAGGGAAAACAAAGGAACGTGGAAAATAAAGGAGCGCAGCGCACTAAATAAATAGAAAAACTTTTACAACGACAATGGAAAGCGGGGGCGATCAGGGTAGCCACAATGATGATGACGATGACGATGATGATGATGATGTAGAAGAAGAAGAAGTGTTCAATGCCTGCGCCCATTGTCAAAAAGAATCAACAAAAAACTGAAATCGGATATTAAATGCACAACAAACAGCAACAACAACAACAAACAGCTAGAAAGAGCGAACAAAGGCGAATGTTTGAAATGAATACGCCAGAAGGAGACATTGCAGCCGTAGCAGCTACACTGAGAGAAACAAGTTGAACAATATTTTAAATTTAGAAAATATAAAACAAATGCAATGCATATCTAGAAAAAAAAAATAGCCACAAGCTGTACTTGATCAAGACAAATTTAAAACTAAAATCAGACATTAGGGTTACCATATTCTTGCACATTCGCTGAGCATACATTGTAACAGTAACTTGTCAAATACTTAGGCACATTTCTGTCATTTGCGTAGCTATTATTTGCTAATACATCGCATAAAAGGCAGTGGGGTGACCATATTTTAAGCAACAGCATTATTACATATAATACAAATACTCGCAGCGATAATTAGTCTGCTTACCCCGTTCTGTCTCTAATTTCCCATTTTTCGTTTATATAAAAAATCACTTAAGGTGACCATATTCTGCGCACAAAAACTAATTAATTGCATAAATATGTTTGAGAAACATATCTTTGAGTTAATTTGACATAATTTGTTCAATGATTTGGCTACTGACAGTTTAGGGTGACCATGCCAGAAATTATTAAAGGTATGCAAACATTTAATAAATACATAGTTACATATTTAAGACTTATTTTGCAGCACAGAGTCTTTCTAAATATTACTTTTACTTTAAGGTGACCATATAATTGGTATTAAAATCACATATGCAAGGCAATTTCTGCAAAATATAAAAATAATTGGATCTACAGTTTATTTAACGCTTATGCACATTAGAAATAGAACTAACAATCAATCGAATACCCAATTTGGTGCAGTGTATAGTGTTAACTAGCACAGCAGGCAGGCGGGCGAGGCAGACGACTCTGGTGGCAACTAAATAGTTGCACTAATATGTCCATGACGATGGCAAAAATGGTAAAATAAAACCCACAGCACGTGTGTGTGTGTGTGCGAGTGTGCGTGTGTGTGTGTGTGCTTGAAAAGCCAGCTGTGCCCCTCTTTCAGTTTTGGCTAGGAGCTGCCTCGTAATTGAGGCAAAAGTTAAGGACCAGTATCGCAGGACAATGCGAGAAAAGGCTGCGCAAAGTGCAGGCAGGACAACAGCAGCAACAGGAGCTGGAGCAGGAGCTGGAGCAGGAGCACAAGTACGAAATGGAGGCATAACTCGAAATGGCCATTCGATATGGTTACTTAAAGGGTAATTAAATTAAACGTGCAGCAGCAACAGCAGTCGGCGCAGCATGTTGTCCCTGTTGACATCCAAAACAAAAGGACACGCGGCGAATATCCTTTCTGCTAGCTGAATCACAGCACTAACTGCTCCGCACCCTTTCGACAGAGCGAAAACATCTACTCGTATATGCATATTTCATTATGACAGCAGGAGGCGGCGTGGCAGGGGCAAGCTGAGCGAGGGTTGCTAGGCGAGAGCCAGCGGATGCTCATAAAGGATGCTTCCTATCGCGTGTCAAATCATCGTTATGATTGCAATGTTACCTGCCAACCCCTCCCCATCTATCCACCTCCCCCTCTGCAGCTACCTAACACATTATTTTTTTAACATTTGTTTAGCCAGACAACGCCTCGAAATTGATGATCAAATGATGATTAAAATGTATTTATGAAGGCTTTTTTATTAGCCAGGGGATGGGGTGGGAGCTGTGCGTGTCCTGCCGAATCTGCCTAATGATTGCGTTGATTAATTATGAATCAATTACATTGTAAAAAAGAGAGAACATTCATTTCGTTGCTTTTTAGCATAGAATTTGTATTGAAAATGAAATTTCATTTTCTATGGTTAGGCATATGGGAGTTATGAATGGGCTATAGGGTGGGAGTCTTATAGAAGGAGGTTTGAGCTTAGAGTTTATTGAGTTTGGCTGGCAGTTTGAAGAACACTTTAAAGGAGCTTTAAATAATTAAATTTTATTTTTATATAAATTTATCAAAATTAACTGTACTAAATTCAATTTAGCAATCCTTTTACATAGAGTTACAAAAATGCAAAAATATTCTAGAAAATTCGAGGAAAAATCAAATAAAAAAAACTTTATGCAAACGAGAACTTTGTTAACCCCGACAGAGTTCTATGCGGCTAAAGAAAATAATGATGAAGATGATGATGATGACTTAGTTAACCATAGAAAGAGGATTGAGTCAGTGGATGTGCGCTTGATGTAACCACATTTACAGACATCTATACATATACACATCTATATGCTGTATGTTGCCTTATAAGGGCACAAATTCTAAGCTTAAATCAACAGAAATTTATTTACAGCATAATTCATTCAAAATGTCGAAACTCAAAGCAATCAAAAAATAACTGAAAAGTTTCTTAATTAAAATCAAATTTGTGTTACAATTCGACATGAAAAAGTATTGCGGCTGTCCCTCTCTCTCTCTCTTTCTGTCGCTCTCCCACTCTCGACCAATTAAAAGTAGACAAAAATTAAATTATGCAGTTAGAAAACAGCTGCACGTAGCGCAGGCCAAAAAAAAAAGATTGGCTACAGCAGTTGGTCGCCCAAAAGCTACAATTGAATTAGAAAGCAGAAGAAGTAAATGATGAGGAAGAAGAAGAAGCAGCAGCAAGAGGAAGAGCAGCAGCAGCAGCAGCAAAATGTTTGCCTGCTACAAGCGAAGGTGGCATCCCATTCAAGTGCGGCGAATTGAATTTCTCTTGCTCAGTTTTGTATTTTTCTATACCCATTAAAATTATGAATTTCAGGCATATTGGTTTTGTGGAAATATTTGTAACAAGCAGAAGGAGATAAGGCAGAACTCATATGACGAGGAGTTGAGCTAATCTAGCCATGTTATTCTGACCCTTTGTAAGTCATTCTCCCCTTCCTAAGCTTAATCTTCACTCATATATGCATAAAAAAGCATTAAATAATTTAAAAAAGCTATCTTCTAGTCGTTCACTCCCGACTAGAGCACTCTTAGTTGTATTTTTTATCCCACTCTTCGCTTTTGGCATTTTATTCAAGTTTTTGGCAAAATGGCGCAGCGCATTGTGTAGCAGGGCAGTGTGTGTATGAGAGGGAGAGAGGGAGACAAATTATAGTCAAAAGAAAATGTGATTTTGCAGCAAATGGTGGACGCGCAGCTATAGAAAACAAGACGGCAACGCTTTGTAATTGAATTGAGCGCCGAAAAGCACAAAAAAAAAAAGAAAAGCGAAAAAACGAAAAAAAAAAAATAAATAAAATTTGAAGCAAATAAAAAGAAAGGCAAACACAACCACAAAAGAAAAGTGTAAGCGAGCGAGCGAGCAAGAGGGAGAACAATGGCGGCGGCTGCTAATAAAATAAACGAAAAGCTTTTGTAAGCAAATTGAAAACATAAACAAGCGAAAATTGATCAACACAAAAAACAAGAAAATGTAAAAAAAATGAACTAGAGTAAAAGGACGCAGCACACAAAGGATAAACCAAATGTTTTTACTAGCAAAACAAAAGCCAAAGCGAAACACTGACTAAAGCAAAAACAACAAAAGTCACAGCGACAAAAAATGCATAACAAAAGTTTTTTCTCAACAAAAACACAATAAGCAAATGTATATGAAATTCAATTTGTGCGAAAATAAACAAAATGGCGCCTGTGTGAGTCTATGTGTGTGTATGTGTGTAACAACAGCAGAAATTCGATTAAAACTTTTGTACTGCCCAAAATACACATACACACAGGCATATGCACGCACGCACACAGAAATAAGCGCAAATTAAAGAAAAACAAGCAGCGACGCCGGCTGCGAGCGGGCAGCATTAAAGTTTTGCCCAAAAATAAAAACAAAATCAAACTTTAAGCAGCAACAGCAACAGCAACTGTAAATGCGAAGCAGTCATAAAAACATGCAGGCAAAAAGTTAGCGGCGAGTGTTGAAAAGGCCGCAGCAGCAACAACAACGGGAACAGGAACCGTAACAATGGCTGCACTTGCTCATAAACTGCAGTTGTGCATGCACTGCTCAATTGTAAACACGGCCTGTACAGTTTGGCAGCCACTGCATGTGCAGCGTACATATATAAAAACATAAATATGTAACGGCAATAGCAACACACACTAGTTGTCACGCTCGCACACAACATAGACACGCCCCTGAACACACACACATACAAGCGTAGCCGCTCGCACACACACGCTCACGCAGTTTTCGAAGTTAAGCATTTTTCGAACTTGCGCCATTTCCCCTCCTAATGCGCGTGTGTGTGTTTCTGCCTATACTGTTAACTTTGTGCATTTCTTTTATTTTCTTTGTTTTCTTTACTTTTTTTTGCTTTTGTACTCACTTTATCATGTCCGGTAGGCGTTCCGGTACTTTAGGGTGGGTGTTTTTCTTCACATAGCTCGATGATAGCGCCTCGGTGCATGCCAGCATTAGCTCCGTGGATAACTCGACCGGATGTTGTGGTGATTTTTCTTCGGGTAACTGCAAATGGCGAATGAACGAAACGAGAAAGAAAATATGAAACGCAAATAAAAAACAAAGTCAAGAAGTGTCAATGTACCGTTGTTGTTGTCGTCTTGTTGCTGTTGTAGCTGCACAATTGTTGCATGCTTTGCGGCGTTAAGCGACATTTTTCGTGTGTGTTCAAATTAATTACAAAAGTTAACAGCTACAACAACAACAGCAGCAACAGCAGCGGCGAACACTCACATCAATCAAAATGTTAATTGATGTTTTTTAACGCGACGCGTTTTATCTTTTTCTCCTCTCTCTCTGCTTCTGCTTCTTCTTCATTACATGACAATCGGCGTGCGCGCTGATCCATCAGCAAAGGCAGCAGGAAGAGTGGAGTGGAGAGGAGTGTAGAGTAGGAGAGCCGTGAAGTGGAGTGGGCAACTAGGTGACAAAGCACAACAATAAACACGAGCCAACGCAACAACAACGCAGTAAAAAAATATTTTTTTTTGGAAAGCAACAACAATAACAATGGATAAATAAAAGTGGCTTTTTACGCGCTTTAACGATTGATTTAACAGCAGGCCGCAAAAATACATACATACATACATATATATAAACACATATGCATATACATAAAGAAAAACAATAACAGAAAATACGCACGCAAAACTTGACGGCCAAATGCTGACAAATTGTGTGAAAGGCAGAAAGAGAGAGAAGGAGAGAGAGAGGAGAGGGTAACAGGGGAGTTTGACATTTGCGGCTAGTGCGTTGCGAATTTATAGGCCACAACAACAACAGTGCGTTGCCGCGGCCAGTAAATAAAATTCAAATAAAAATGCCACACAAAATAAAAACAAAAACAAAAACAAAGGCAACGACAAAGCCAAAGGCAGCCAGCGCCAAATAAAAGCGTCAAAAGAAATGGCAAATAAACAAGCGCATGAAATAAGAAAACAATAAACTGTAAACTTGGCAAAGTTTGTGAGATTTGTAATTGATTCAGTCAGGTCGAATTGCGAATGCGCTATAGTTGAATATTATATTCTTCGTATGTATGTAACATAATTATAATAAATTCCTTAGTATAAAAAAGTATTATAAGAAATATTTTATTTATTTTTAATTTTTTTGAAAATATATATTATATATTATATATATATATATATATATATACATATATATATATATATATATATATATATATAATATATATTATATATATATTTACATATTATAGTTTGAGATTTTGAGAACCTATAAACTTGAATATAAAAAAGTATTTATATTGTTACAAAGCACACATAAAAACAAGAATGCCCTACAATCAAAATATATTTTATGCTCAAGCGTATAGAGAAGAAGCAAATCAGCGCAGCCAAGTGTTAAGTGGCCAAGTCAGGGACCAGAGCCGACAAGGAGACAAAAAAGGAGCGTAGATCAAAGAGAGAAAGAGAGGGAACGAGGGAGAACGCGAGCCAAGTTTAAAGCATGCGACGCAGTTGAGGGAATTACGATTCTAGATGTAATTTCATGGCGACAATTTGGCGACAGTTTTATAGCAATGATTCTTCTTCTTCTTCTTCTACTTTTTACTCACCTGAAAACTTCTACTGATGGCATCGAAGAGCGTGGCTATGGAGTTGCCTAGCAGCGCATGACGCGCTATCTGTGGACAAACGGAGCACGCATTCCGATAGAGCTGGACGGCAAGTGTAACAGATCTGCCAAGGATGTGGATGAAAGTGAAACTCTCGACTCTCGATAAACTATCTCTACTTACTTCTTAGAGATCTCAGCATTGTCCTCCAGACCCTTGCTAATCACATAGTTGGTCAACACTCCAAGTCCGTCCAGGTTGAGGAACGCCTGGAAGTCGAAAGTCTGCGCCTTGGGTATCACACGCAACAGGTTGCCCAGCGTACGATCCAGGCCCTGCGACCCACCGCCCTTCATGACCAGATTCAAGAGCTTGGGCACACAGCTGTCCCGCTTCACATGGGCGGGCACAGCCTCTAAGGTGGCGAGATACTCAGCGGCACTAAGAGGGGAGAGATAAAAGGTTTTTTTTGAGATTTATGGAATATGTACAATCGATATTTATAAAAAGATCGATAACAAGACATTTATGAGAACTTAATATAGGAGTAAAAAGCTTGCGAGATCTTAACATGCTAGACTAGATTATAGCTATACTATTGCCCTAATAGAGGGCTATCGATATTTTGACTGGATTTCCCTGATAGTTCTTAGTACTCTATGTAGGGTAGAGCATGTGTTTGTCCAACTCACCATTGATTCATGCGCTGCTTCAGCTTCTTCATTTTCTTTTTGTAGCTGCGCGAATGCTCGCGACTGCCCGCCACGCCGCCGATGTCGGAAAATGTGGACGACAGATCGCAGTCCTCGTTGGTGGTGCTGGTGGTGTTGCCATTGAGCAGCTCCGCATCGTCGTCGCCCCGCGCATCGTCCTGCTGCCGTGTGCTGGGCATGGTCAACTCGAGAGCTCGTTGTCGAATGTGTTCGATGTTCTCCTCGTGCCGGCGTGCAGACTCGAGCTGCTTTTGTAGGATCTTGCGCTGCAGCTCCTCTGTAGTTTGCTGCTGTTGCACCTGGAGAGCGAGCAGGCGCTCCTCGCGATCGCGTGCCTTCTCACGGGCCAACGCTTGACGTTGTCGTTCCTTTTGCTCCTGCATTTTGCCGATGCGTTGCTCCTTCTCCAGCCGCGTCTCGTTCATCTTCTCCAGCTTGAGCAGACGCTCCTTTTCCAATGCCTGGCGACGCCGCTCGACAGCTGCCTCCTTGGCGGCCTTTTCTTCGACGCGCTTCTGACGCTCCTGCTCGAGATCCTGGAGCCGTCCCTCGGTTTCCTTGAAGGCTTCGAGTAAATCGAGGCGCTTATTCTGCGCTTCGATATTCTTGATGAAGTTAATCTCCTTCAGCTTTTTGTCCTCGTCGTGCGCCTTCTCAATGATCTGCCTTAGATATAGCTCCCGATTCTCGGCAGCGCGTTGCAGTCTGCCCTCCATCTTCTGGCGCTTATCCTCAATGAGCTGCTTCTTAGCTGCTTTGACATCCTCGACCCTCACGAAGAGCTGCTGCAGCTTCGCTGCCTTCTCTTGCTGCAGCAAAGCGCGCTTTTGCTGTGCCCTGGCCTGCTTGGCCTGATACTTCTTCAGAGTCTCCTGCAGCGAGCGACGACGCGATGGCGACGACAGCTTCTGATGCAGTTCCTGTGCGCGCCCAGGATGGCGTGCAACATAAGCCTGGAGTGTGGCCAGCGCTTCGGCACGTTCGTTCCAGGACATATCGGAGAGCAAGGCTTGATAGCGCAGCTCCAAGCTCGCGTTCTCATCATCGCTCATCGTGACAAAGACGACGGCATCGTCAAGCGCTTGATCCGTGCTGTCGTCCTGCTCCTCCAACTGCACTTCGCCATCTGTCTCATCCGTTTCGGTATCCACGTCGATCTCTGTGCTCTCCAGCTCGCGTATTTGACGCTCCAGCGACTCTTGCACTTCCACAAGGATACGTTCGTTGCGCTCCTCCTCAACATCCTCGGCTGTTTGCTCCTCGATCTCATCGCAAGCTGCCAGCAGGCTGGCATCGGGTTTCACACATCCGTTGGGCAGCTTACAACGGGCGATGCTCTCGTACAGCTCTCCTATGGTCTTGGAGAACTCACAGTTCGTCTGGATCTTGATGTCGATCTTGTTGTGGTCATCGTTATTAGCTGAAAAGGGGAAGAACAAACTGAGAATGAGAAGTTCAGCCAAGTTTCTCTCTCTGCTTACACTCATTATCAGTGGCTGTGGCATTGTTGCCCAAGCTCTGCTCCTGTTGCTCCTTTTGCTGCTTGCGCAGCGCATTCTTCTCGCTGCGCATGTACTCCTTGTGCAGCGAGGTCATCTTAAGTCCCGTGAGATCCGATTTCTGTCGCTTGATAATGGTGGTGCGAGCATTGACGGAGGCAGCAGCTTTATTCTGAATGAAATTGCTGCTGCTGCGCATTAAGGCAGTTGCTGGCTTTAGCTTTTCCTTTTCCTTTTCCTTCTCCTTTTCCTTCTCCCTCTCCTTCTCCCTCTCCCTCTCCCTTTCCTTATCTTTGTCTTTGTCTTTTTCTTTGTTTTTTTCTAGCTCCTTATCCTTGTGTTTCTCCTGCTCCTTGTCTTGTTTCTTGATATGGTTTGCTGCCCGCTGAGCTGGGAAAGAGTTGACCTTGGCTTTGGCATTCTTTATCTCTGGCCTGGGCGCTGGTGGCGCCACCACTTTGGCTGCCTTCGCGGCTTTAGCTTTGGTGTCAGCTGCTGTGGCTTTCGACTTGCTGCTGGCTTGGCCAGCTTTGCTGGCAGCTGCTGCTGCTGCTGCTGCTGCGGCTGCTGCGGCTGCTGCCGCTTTCTCCCGCTGCTGTTTGTCCTTTTCCTCCTTCTGCTCGTTCAGCAGCGCTAAGGTAGGCAGACTGGCATAGCCTGTGGGTTGGTTGAAACGATTCGACCAGTGCATGCTTGTGCGTCTACGATTCTTGACCGTGTGCCAACCATCATTCGCATCCAGCATCTGCTTCGGCTCTGAATGCCTTTCCTCCAGCTTCAGTGTGCTCCTCGAGCTGCTCAGCTGCTCATTGCTGGCCTTCAGAGTCGACGTCGAGCTGGCTATGTCCTCGCGAGAGCTCAGACGTACACTGGGCGCACTTGCTCGCTTGCCCAGATTGGGATTCGATGCACCAGTCGTGGATATGCTTAGCTGCGAGCTGCCCACGCGCTTCGACAGACTTGGCCTAGGCATCACAGCTGCTGCTGCAGCTACCGCATTGCCATTCATGTCCAGCATGGTGCGCGATCGAGCCGACAGTCGAGTAGCCACATTGTTCGGCGGCCCATAGCACTCCGTTTTGCTGGCAGGACGCGGCGGTGGCTGAGCCGCAGCCAAACGCCCGCTGCGCGCAGCAAAGGGCTTAGCATTATTGTTCGTGTTGTTGTTGCTGCGACGCAGTCCATTGATTGGCGCCGCTGCCTTAGTTAGAGCTGCTGCCTTGCTGTTAGCCAATTTGCTGTTTGCTGCTGCTACGTTTGGCTGCACATTTACCTTTGGATTGCTGCCACGCATGGCAACGGGACGATTCAGCACACTGGAGTATTTTAAAGGACTATTCTGCACGGTTTGCGCACTGCTGAGCTGCTGCATTGGCTGCTTCTTCTCGGGAATGGCAGCGACAGGCTTTAGCAATGTGTTTGGCGGTGTTGGCTGTTTGTTGGACTGCGCATTCAGCAAGGCATTCTCCATGGCATCCAAGCGACAGACTGTCAGCTGCAATGCTGTGGGCTCTTCGGCAGCCAGGAGTGGTGCAGTTGATAGCTGCTGCGGCTGCTGTTGCACGGTTTCGATTAATACCTGCTGCTTTGCCTGTTGAGCATTGAACTCAGCTGCTGCTGCTGCTGGCTGAGCTGCTGGCTGAGCAGCTGGCTGAACTGCTGGCAAATCTAAAAAAGAAACGTATTAGACATTCGCACTTTAAACTGAGTAGCAGCAATACAAACTTGGGAGGAACTTGTCCCTCAACATAAATGAGTTACATGGACTTACCTGAGAGCTCCTCTGCAGCGGTTTCCTCTCCAGCTACTTTTCGCTGCGCTGCCTCCTGCTCAGCCGCCTCTTTCTGAGCCTTTTCTCTGACAGCTGCGTCTCTTGCAGCTAATTCCCTCTCTGCTTTCTCCCTTTCCGCCGCCTCAAGCTGAGCTGCCTCTCTAGCCGCCGCCGCTGCCGCTGCTGCCTCCCTTTCGGCCATCTCCCTGGCCATCTTCTCGCGCACATCCGCAAGTGTCAAATGCGGATCTTCCAAATCCGTTTGCGAGTATTGTGTGTTGAGCTGCACGTACGGCTTGTCCTCAGGCAAATCCAGTTGTGGAGTCGTCACCTCCTGCACATCCGAATTGGGCGAGCCGCGTGCATTGCGTTGCTTATTCGCTGCAAACAATTCCCGCACGTTCACGCGCATTGCACCGCGTGGCAATTGATCGTAGGCGCGCAGCAGCTTCTTGGGCGTCACATGGCCATCGCAACAGGGCGACGTTTTGCCCGAATTGCAAGGAAAGAGCGCCGGACTCGATTTACCCGACGTAGTGGGACTGCAGAGGCTCTTAGTGCGTACTCGAGGTGTGGGATTGCTTTTGCGCACCTCCCAGGCAAGACTTTGGGGACGCTGCTGCAGTGGTCGCGAGTCATAGTCCCAGCTAACTTTGAACCATTCGCTGAGTGCCTTAAAGTCACGCACATAGTTCTCCAGCACAAGGATCGCCTCCTGGCAACTGGATATGTTCTCATAGCATTCGACTGTCTGATAGATCTCGTTGACCGCACGCTGCAAATTGCCAAAGAGCAGCGCCCAGTAGCGTGCCTGCAGCTCCGACTTCTTATCCCGACCGGTCGAGGCGCTGCGGACGCGCGGTCCAGTCGAGCCAGCTAGACCGGCGTTGCCCGGCTTGGATCGTGTCACATTGGTCGTCGTAGCCGTCGTCGTCGGCGATTGGCAGTGTTTGGGTGTTTGGATGCCACTTGGAGATTTCGGCGGCGCCATCGGCGGCTTGCGGCATGTGGGCGTTGGATAGCCTAAAACAAATAAGACTTTAGTTTCAAAAGCAACAAGAGTTGTAGAGTAGTGAGGGATCGACTCGCAGTTACCCTGTATATATTGACTTCTTTTAATCGCAAAAGAAATACATAATAAATAGCTGGGAAACAATATATATCGTTCTTTGAGGAAATGATTGGAAATTTATATACCGCATATAAATCACAAATTGCAAGTCTAGTCAAGTCAGTCCAGTCAGTGCACTTCATGTAGACGAGCAATTTATATGGCTTATATGAAGGAAAGCGTCATAGTCTATCCTTACACCAAGCGCAATATATACAGGGTATGCAGAAATGTTATAACAAGACCTTAACTTACAGTCACCATTGACTACAACGCCGCCGTCTCTGCCCGCGCCGCTGCCTGCGCCGACGCCACTTGCGGTTGTCTCATCGCAAAACTGGTAGACAAGCAAGTTCTTTGCTTCGCGTCCCTCGCGACTCAAAACCTCTCGCATCTCCATAGCCTTTCTTGATACGTTTGTTTATGCTTTTGATATATATGTATATATATATATATATATATATAATATATATGTGCGCGCTGCGCCGCTGCCTACGCCAACGTCAACGCCTACGCCAGTCACCCAAAAAACGCAGCTGTTCGCGCACCTTTCTGTTTGTTCGTCTTTCAACAGTTAAATTTGATTGCGATTCGCAGCTGTTGTTGCTCCATGCACAAAATGTTGAATATTTGTTTCAATATCAATTGATTGCTATGCTATTTGCTGCACACTTATGTGATTTTTATAATTTACTGTCTTTTAACGGCCGCTGTTGTTGTTCCTGTTGATGTTGTTGTTGTTGCTGCTGCCGTTGTGTCTGCTGCTGCCGCTGCTGCTGAGAATTTCGCAATGACAGCTTCTAACATTTTTGCGCAATACACACGCTTTTGCTTTTTTGTCTAGACAAGCGCAGGCTACTTGAGCTACAAATTTGTTTTGAAAGTTCAGCTGTTACTGTTACGCAGGTGTCTTTATTATAAACTAAAAATAATTTTAAATCGCAGCACAGACCCCGAACTGCATGCTACACGAAATCAGCTGTCCACTGACTTTGTATCGAACAGTGTGTACACACTTCATTATTGTAGCCTATCGATAACGACAAGCGATATATTGAATATTGTATGTATTAAACCTACTATCTATATACGCCAAAAGTCATTATTTCTTTTTATAATTATAGTTATCAATACACGTTCAATAAGTAAGCTTATGAATAGTTGTGTGAAAGTTATCGCCAGTGTGAAAATTATCGTAATCAAATCTAAGCGATATATCGATAAGATGGTTTGTCCCTTGTTTTACACATTTTTATGCTAATAAACATAATATTATGTTGCTAAATCATGTGTTTGGCAATTTAAATAATCACATATCTGTTTACTTTTATTATGTATTCAAAATATATCTGTAACTATCGCAACGGCTGCCATTGCTCGCCGCACCAACATCTTATTGACATCACTAATTCGCATTCCGTCACAAACAGTGTGTGTGTGCAAAGAAGAAGATAGGCACGCACGGACCGTGATTGCGGAGTTTTTGTTTTTGCATTCGAAGAACTTGTCGATTTTAACTTCTTTAATTAGCAATTTCACCAAATTGCTCCAAATAAATTCCGTCTCAAGTGCAACGAAAATACGTACTAAAACAACAAAACAAAGTTTTTTTGACTACTACGGCTAGTCTGGACAGCAACAATTAATAAAATGAAAGTGGAAATCGTGTGATGTCATGTCGACGACGACGACGACGGCAGCAGCGACGTCGACCGTTCTGTGAATTGAAACTTCCTGTTCTCGCTCTCTCTTTCTCTGTTAAACCCACTCTGTCCTCCCACTGTTTGCCGTATGATAGATCCTCTTGAAGGTAGCCAAAAGTGCGACAAGTGACGGTGAATAAATTTTTGGCAAAGCAGAAGAGAAAAATAAAATAAAAAAGAAAAAATTCCAATTTTCATTCCACCGCTCAGCTGCAAATGTGCCAGTGTGAATAACAGCACAAAAGAGAAAAGGTGAAACGAGCCAAACACACACGCACGCACGCACACACACAGCAGCTTGCGTGTAGGTGTGAGTTGGACAGCAACAGCGGCCAAAGCACTCAAAAAAAAAAACAGCAACAAAAACAATAAAAACATTTTTTTATTGATTTCCCTCCAAAAAAAATAACAAAAACAATTTGACGACGATTCCGCCCAAGCAACAGGAGCAGCTGCATTTGCCACGCCTGTATATAGACCGTGGTACCGTCCTTAAACTACACACGCACACAAACAGACACATTCCCACTCCCTTTTTCGTCCCCCTTACCACCTCCGCCCACTCATCATGTCCAGCCCCAGCGCCAACAATGGCGCCCAACCAGTTGTGGAACAGTTGCGCATGGAAGTGGAGCGACTGACACGCGAACTCGATCAGGTGTCCAGCGCCAGCGCTCAATCCGCACAATATGGCCTCTCGCTGCTGGAGGAGAAGTCGGCACTGGAGCAAAAGTGCGAGGAGCTGGAAACCCTCTACGATAACACACGCCATGAACTGGACATTACGCAGGAGGTAAGCACAAAAGAAACAGTTGAACAGCTGTGTCTGTGTTTGTATGTGTGTGTGTGTGCACAGTGGATTAAATTGCCGCTATCAACTACACACTCAAACACACGCATACACACGCTTGACTAGCCTACGCATACACTCACAAACATATGACTGCATAGCCTACACACATAGACTTATTCTCTGCTAGACCAAAAGTTTTGCAATTGGTTTGCAATTTGCCTTGTTGGCAGAAAACAGTTAGAACTCGCTAAAGCGTACGCTTAGATTAGCAAACATTAAGGGAATGTTCTTTAAGCACATGTTTTCTATAAGAGAACCAACAGATATAAAATAAAAAAGAATTTGATTTTATTGTTATGCAAATAAGACAAGGCAACTACAGTGAAAGCTCAGCTATGGTGGTCTTTTGAGCATATACCAAAACTTTTCTTTTAAATTTGTTACGAATGAATACAGTTATACTATGTGTGTATAAATATTCTATATTTATATTTTTAAAATATTCTTTTATATTATCGTCCTACTATGTTATATATTCCGTATAGCTTTGTCCAATTAGATTTTCCCTGCAAATATTTACTATATATGTTAATTATAAATATTTGATTTTCATCACTAACAAATAGTGGTGATTGTATCGGCTAGACCATTCGCCATATCGAATCTGCACTTTATATGCTATAAGCACACTCCCTTGCTCTCCCGTTCTCGTACTCTCCAATTCGTATTCTCTCTCTTGGCGCCTTTGTTTGTCCAGCTCTGATAATCACAAATCGTTTAAGCTGGTCACATGTAGATTTTCTTTCGTTCTACAAACTGGGCTTGCGGTACTTGGCGCCGCCTCAGTGAACGCCTACGCTCAGCAGCTCTCCACGCAACAACTGTCTACACTCTTTATTATCCAACTCTGTTGCTCTCCCGCCTCTCACTCTCTCGCTCTGAACGCTTGATCGTGGTCAATTTGGCATGCGCTTTATTATCGCCATTTAGTTCAGTTGGTTTTGTTGTTGTCTGACTTGGTTTATATGAATGTAGATATGTTTTTTCTCATTCCATTTTACACCTGTGTTCGTTCGCTAACTGTCAGACTGGCAATTAGCCACGGCAATTGTTTTTGGCATTTCCGTTGGAATTTTTCGAACGTGCTTTGCGGAAAAGCCCAGCAATAACAACAAAAAAGTTTGTCCTTCGCCCAAAGGGCTTCGTCGTTTCTATAAATAACTTTTACCTGTCGACTCATTATCATTTTGTTTTGCACCTTTTATTTATGTTGGCTTTATTCGCTCTTAGTTGTTGCCCCTGGCGTTAATTACGCGATTCGTTGCCAAAACAATGAATCGATTGGTCGTATTTCAAGTTAACAATGTTTTTCACAGCGGAACTATTTCGAAGTGGATCTATAAAAATCACAAGAGTGAATATTATATATTATTATTATTACTATTATGTATTATATATTAATATATTATATTATATATTGGATTTATGCAGTAATCAGACTGACTAAGCGAAATTAATTAAAATATACATATATAAATATATATAAAATATATTGCCTTCCAATTTTATATGAAAATAAGCAACGATTTTATGATCTTTGATTTCCATCTATCCATCTCCATATTGTCCATTCTATACATCCTTTTCTTAAGCTTAAGCAAATCTGTAAGATCTATTCGTTTTTAGCTTCTTCTTATAGAGAAGAAGCTACACAGATGCCAGCAGAAGTCGCCAGAGTTGATTAAAGTAGAAAGCAGATGTGAAAGAGAATTGGTATAAATTTGAAATCTGAAAAAGAAACCTACAGAGATGAGAGATGTTATAAATAAATATAAATATCCTGTTTTTATATTTTTTCAAAAAGTATCTTAAACTTCTTCTAATTTGATTTATTATGGAATAATTTCCCATATATTTTACAACTCAATTAATTATATTTTTCAATCACACGCTTCTCTAGTTTTCCAAACTCAATTCCACATTCCATTTTCGTATCACCTGCACAGTTTGATTAATTGTACGACAGGTGGCGCCCAGTAGGCCGTTTGCTTGATAGTTTCCAGCTTGTTAGCTTTGAACTCAACTGAACTTTTAACGAGAGCTGCTGCGAGCAAAACACGCCCACACCCACACACTCATTTACACGCGCATTAATGCATGCTTAAAATTAAAAAAAAAGGAAAGAGAAAATTATTTGCAACGTCGACGACAACGCTGCGGGCATTTGGTCTCCGCCTCGTGGAGAGCTGAAGAAGGGGGCGTGGGTCTGGTTGGGCGACATATTTCCCACTTGTAATCAAGATATCAGCCCGTGGGCGAGCTTACCCTCTAAATGAACATAAATCAGAGTCGCTCTGAACAGAGACAGAGTTTTGAGAGTTGAGCAGCAGCAGCAGCCAAATGGCTGCATCCAAATTAGCTGGGCCAAAATTAATAGAATATTTGCTCATATACCTAGCATATAGAGCTGGCGGCGATAATTTTCTCGCCGACTAGGCTTAATGTGCAGGCATTTTGATTGCGCGATTAAATGAGGTAAAGGGAAAATTTGGAAAATTGGAAAATTTGAAAATTGGCTAAAATTCAACTGCAGTTGTATGCAAATATTTAGCCGGAATGTTAAGCTCTGCGGCAAAGTGAAGTTAAGAATTTATGTAGTTGACTTTGTTAGATGGGTGAGTGTGTGTGTGTGGGAGGGCCGTAACGAGGCGTGGCACGTTACACATGTTGTTTGGACGTTTGTGTAACTGCGGCAATTAAGAGGCGGCCAAAACAACAGCCATAAAACCGAAGCCAACTTTGAGTCACTGTGTGCGTGCTTGTGTGTGTGTGTGTGTGTGTGTGTGTGTGTGTGTGTGTGTGTGTGTGTGTGTGTGTGTGTGGGTGTGTGTGTGTGTGTGTGTGTGTGTGTGTGTGTGTGTGTGTGTGTGTCTGTCTGTCTGTCTGTCTGTGTGTTGTTTGACCATATTTTATGCCTCGCCTGATGGCAGCCAAGGACATTTCGCCCAGGGACCTCATCGTCGTTCGCATAGTTTTTGCGGTCTGTGTGAGTTGTTAACTTGACAAAGGCCAAAAAGTTTTTAATACCAACTTTAATAATTAATGCCATTATTTACACGGCAACTGGTAGATAGATAGAGCAAGAGATAGAGAGCATGCAAGAGGGCGAACTACGAACTATGCAAATTGAAGAATTTTTAAGTAGAGCACATAAAGTGAATGGAAAACTGATGACAAATTTCTGTGGGGAATATTTGCAGGTGTTTGTAAAGGTAGCTTACAGTGGAAAAACAAATTCTTAAGCTTTATAAAAAGTTACTAAATATTAGAAAAATATGAACAGGTTAAATTGAGGAAACATGAAGAAATTAACAAATTTAAAAGAAAAATTATATAAAAAGGCAATTAGTAAAATATATAGATTGGTAGAGATAATGTTCAAAGAAACACAAAAATGATCGAAATATATCTCTATATTATAAAAATGAAAATTGACATCAGTTCAAGAACATATGAAACTTGATGTTTTGATACTACTTGAAATATATATATTTATATAAAAAGTTGAAGTCAAAAAGATGTCAGAAAAATAAATGAAAAATTGTGTATATAAGTAAGAAATAATTTCATTCAAGACAAGATCAGAGATATGCACAGCTATAATCAAAAAGCCTAAAAATTACATAATATTCTCTACCTAGACCGCCCCGAGAGCCTCTGCCAAGTCGGTATTTTCTGCAATCCACCTTTCGTAGTAGAAGCCTAAAGGCTGAGCTTAATTATCCTAACTGATTTAGTAAAATCTAAGCCTAAATTTCCGCAAATATTCAGCTGACAAAAAACCGCAGCCAAAAGTCGTTAGGCTAAAGCCTCGCCAAGCACTAAAAAAACATCAAAAGCGCGCAGGACGCAGCCGAGTTGGGGCAGGACGTCGCGGCAGCAGAATAAAAAATAAAATCCCGACGAAGAAATTATAATGATTTGACGCTGATGCTCTGTTCTGTTGGCGCAAATTGCAATTCTACGGCAATCAAATCCGGCAACAACAAGGACAACAGACAATTGCAGGGGCCAAGCGTGGGGTTAAGGGTAGGCGAGCAAGGGTTAACTGCTGCAGCAATGACAAAACATGTTTCCGAGTTGGCTGCAGTCGCAGTTGTCATTTGTTGCTGCTGCTGGTGCTAGAGCTGCTAGTGCTGCAAGGGAAATGAGCAGGAAAAATGTTGTTCCCAAACCATTTGGCGGTGTCTGCAATGAAAATGTAAAAGCAGCTGTCAAGTGGAGCCAGAGAGAGAGAAAGAGAGGGCAGGGGTTGGAGAGTTGGGACTGACTAGGAAATCTCATAGCAACTCGCAGTTGGAGAGACTGCGGCAACGCGACAAACAGTTGCAACAGTTTTGTACTCTATACCACTTGCAAATGCGTCCAATGAGGGTAGACACAAGTTACAGACAGAACCAAGTTATCGATAGCTATCGGTCTCCAATATATATAATAATATGTTTGTATATATAGAAGATTTTAGTACTGTAAATCTGAGACATAGACAGTCCTGCATCATAGTCCATAATATCTTACATCTAACCAAATATCGATAAATATCGATTTTGAATTAAAAAATTAGAATGCGCAGGTATGACAGTTACAGCTAAGAATAGTATATATCGGTAGTACACAGATATTCAAAGCATAGCAAAGTAATATAGGCATGTCGGTATCTTGAATTTAACACAAATCGATAAATATCGGTAATCAAACTTTGTAGTTGGAATGTATATGAAAGATGATCATAGCTCAATTAGTGAATATAAGTTTTCCTATACAAGAAATCAAACTGTTGTATCGATACTAATTTTTATTTATTAAAAATCGATAAGAATCGATGTACTTCTCAAGCATATCTTCAAGACTGTAAGAGTTTAGAACAGAAGTTATAGTATTTAATTCAATATAAACGAAATCCTAAGCAGCAGCTGTTTACAGGGTATGTGTCGGTCGTG